AGAGAGCCCAAAGTGTCAGCTGGGAAACAGAGACATCACAAACTGGAGCTAAAAAAAAAGGAATTTTGCAAACATATGCCACATTTTCTTAGCTTTCTGCCAAAAACACTACCCACTACAATTAACTCATTTGCTGAGAAAATTAAAAGGAGCTTTCACAAGTTCAACTAAAGGCAGAAAGCTGCCAAAAGGCTTTCTCCTAGAAAAGGTTTATATTTTTAGACCCTCTTCCAAGTTTATTTCTTATTCACTTGATTTTTATAATCTAGAGATGATGCAATGCATCCATAATAGATACAATAATGAGATTTAGCTACATTTTCATAAAATGTTGATAAAACATTAATTCAGCTATAATCATCCTGAATACCTTTATGGATTCAAAAAAATTTAACATGGCTAATTCAGAATAAAAAGTTTAAGAAAGAAGCAGACATGGATGGTATAGTGGTGAGAGAGCGAAAAGCCCAGAAGACCCAGATTCAAATCCTGCTTCTGAAATAGTAGTTACGTACCTCAGGGCAAGTTACATAACCCCTCAGAGCTCTGGGCAATTCTCTAAGATTTTCAATTGCACAGAATAGTCAGTAAACATTTATTATGTGCCTAAGTGCCAGAGGAAGGTGCCAACTTCCACTGGCAGAGAGAGGTCCCTCAACTGAGTTCTCTATATGAATGAAATAACAGACTCATTCATTCTCCCTAGGCTGCAGATAAACTCTGCTTCCCACATTGGAAATGCCAGGTCAACACCATCACCTTTTCCCTTTCCCACACCCTCAACAATATTCACAAAATGACTCAAAATACAATCACTGCATAAGCCTTCAGTTTTCAACAACTCTGTTCCAATAATAAACACAGTTGGCTAATTCCTTGGTACATCCCAGTAAGTCTTTCATTAAAACGGATGGACCCAATGAATTAAGAAAAAACATTCCCCACTTAGTGCCCCCCCCCCCCATTCCCTTACTTGGAGGCCTGCCACATAAGCAGTACAGGAGACCTGAGGTGATCAAAGTCTCCATCTCGCTTCTTGGAACCCAAGACTAAATCATCCTTCAGCTCCCCACAATTCATTTAAATTTGACCCATCTTCTGGGGCTCTTCCTCCTTTCCCTGCTCCCTGATTTTTCTACTAGTAGAACTACAAACTATAAAAATACTTTCTGAACAGGTTTTTTTCCCCCATGTGAAAGAAAAACTTACAGTAATTAGATTTAGCTACCACTTCAGAACTGTTAATGAAAAATTAATTCAGTTACAATTACAATCAACATCTTTACAGGTATTTCATTAAAAAACATTAATATGTCATCATTTTAGTATCAAATGGCATGATTACCAACTAAGTAACAGTAAAGGCAAGTTTTGAAGTGATAGGTCCATGACCTGGAATAGTCCAAATATAATCAATTGCATTAATTATTTAAAAGAATCCTGACTGTTTTCTTTTATTCAATATCAGAAAGCACAAAAAAAATCTACAATTTCCAAAGTCACAGTGTTATAAGAACAAGCTACAATTTACATAGGTAAATATGTCAAGGATCAGAATTTTGCCCATTTCACCAAAGTATCTATATCTTTAGATAGCAACCCTTCAGTAATTTAGGAGATGTCTTAAGAGTTGCCTGAGACTCAGAGGTTAAGTGACTTGCCCAAGGTATGCCCAACATAGCTGATGTTGGAAGGTAAGATCTGAGTTCATCCTCTGGACTTTAAATACAGCATTTTATGCATCGAACCAGAAGTGCCAAAGATAAGGCTTTTTGTAAGCGGTTGCAAAATTCACTAAGTGGCCCAAACCAGATTAAAATGAATTGGGAAATGTTTAACAAAATCAATTAAAATACAACATAGATAATGTTAAATTGTAGTTTTCTGAGTCACTATGCAGTCCACACGGATCTGTTTGTATTTGAGTTTGATACCACACCGGCTCTTTATACACGGACCAAAAAAATAACGTGAGTGTATGAGAGAGGGAGAGTGTGTGTGTATGTGTATGTGTGTGTGTGTGTGTGTGTGTGTATGTGTGTGTGTACACAGTTATCCCTTCCACATCATGAGGGTTTAGGGCGCAGTATCTCCATGATCTGGAAAATTTGAGTAAAATTTTTGGCCTTCCCTTCATAACAGCAAAGAGGTCTGAATTCTTTCTTTCTTCTTCTTTTTTTTAATGGGGTACTTATGGTACCTTATTGTAAAATTTAGGTTAAGTATTTGGTCATAGGCTATATGTAGGTCAATGTTAAGTAAAAATACTGTATGGCAAAGAAAAAAAAATACGAAATATGAAAAATGTTTAAAGTGAAACAAATTTAAGAAGAATACTACTGAAAATATTACACGTACAACAGAAGACATTAAAAAAAAACCTTTGAAATTCCCTACTTGTACTCACCATTAACCTCTGGTACATCACTGCAATCTAACTTGAAATGAAGAAGTTGAATGCTGCCTTTCTCTTCAATCAGTTTCTTCGGGGTTTCAGGAGACTCCCTAGCTGCCTCTTGACCGACAGATGCTGTCTCTTGATCAGCAGATGCTGCCTCTCCCATTACTTTTACACTGCATAGGCTAAACCTTTTTTTAAAATTTTCAAACCAGCCTTTGCTGGCCTGAAAATCCGCAGAGGTAGACCCTTCACCTTCATTTTCCTTTAGGAAATCATATAAGGACTTAGCCTTTTCTCGTATGATGCCAGAGTCTATTGGAATGCCTTTTTTATAACAATCCAGCACCCAAAAGAATGTTGCACTTTCTACTCGAGAGAGATTTGGATCTCGAGGTTTATGCAAATACTTTGCAGTTGTTGGTGCAGCTGCAGCAATGGCTTCCCGGATTTCCTTCTCTTTTTTCTTGATATGCCTTACTGTGGACTCATTAACGCAGTAATGGCGGCCAACCGCAGCCGCCGTTTTGCCTGAACGAAGCATGTCTAACAATTCTACTTTTTCCTTCAAGTTCATCACTTTTCTCCGTTTCTTGGGAGCACTTTTCGAACCACTAGGCACACTACGTTTGGGACCCATGATTTTAATAGAGTTTATGGCGTTTAAATACCACAAGATATGAGAAACTCGAGATGCAAAGATCACTTGGAGATGTCATATGAGAGATTGCTGTAATCACGCTTGGCATCCCCAAACCAGTGTGTGGAACCGCAGTTCTTTTACTACAAATTTAATTTTAAGGAAAAAAAATGTGTAGCTGTTCATTTATGTTATTAAATAGTAAAATACATACTGTACAATATTACACATAACAGCAATACAGTTTATGCATTTATGAGTTACTAAACTTTTTAAGGCATCTCTACATTTCTAGCCTTTGTGTGTCATTTGCTGGCTTTCAATTCTTTTTGCAGACTTTAACTCTTTACTTACTTTAACTTTAGAAAAGAAATGGAGTATATTTAGAGCATTAAAAAGCAAAATACATTGATATTATACAATACCATATGCATATTATACGTATATTTCAGAGTTTCTACACTTCTTCTGTGTCATCTGCAGCTTCCACAAAACTCTCAAAAACTCTCATTTACGGTAATTTCTTATGCCGACCTGCGATATATTTAAACCACGATGGGGAAAAGTTGCGGTGCAGAAGGGATAACTGTGTATGTGTGTATGTATGTCTGGTGTGTATACATGCTGGCTCTTTATATATGGACCAAAATAGAGATTTATATCCATGCAGGTTAACTCTTCAAATATACAAAAACATATTTAAATATACTATATATTTTAGAAGCTATCCAATTTAATTTACTGCATATTTACATAAACATAGCAATAGTTACTATGTGACTTGCAGTCTTTAACATTTTATCATTTCAAAGGCAAATGCAATCACTAGACTACAACTCCAATGACCGTGTAGTAACGATGACAGTCTTGTACAGAACTGTCAAAATTTGAAATCACTAGGAAATACATTCTCTAAGATATCTGATATTAATAGTATACCAGCCTATAGTACTATTTTTTCTAAGTAAAAAGATAAATGATACACTTTAAAATGTCTTCCTTACATATAATTCTCCCAACACTCTTACCTGAAAATAGATAACTGGGAAAAAAAAAAAAAAAGCAAACCATTATTTGGTATTATACCAAACGTATAATACAAGTTAATTACTGAAGTTATCTCATATTTTCTAACACTAGTCTAAGGTCTATCCCAAAGGGTTTTAACGTGGACCCTCAGTAGTTAAAGCACACATTGCTCAGAGACCCTGAACGAGCATTGGGAAAAAATTCCATCTTTATGTTAATTTGCTTCTAACTAAAATATAGCATCTTCTTCAATTTTAATTTAAAAAACAAAACACTATTCCAAGCAAGAGTCCATAGATTTTCCTAGACTGCCAAAGGGGTCTATGAAACAAAGATGGTTAAGAACCCCTGCTCTAGCAAATGGGTAGATGGGGTATAATCATACATAAAATCAGGATTAAATATACTATTAAATGTTTCTTTACTCCAAGAGAGTCCTTAGAGAGTGAAATATTTTTCACTCAGGCAAAACCGATTAACTGTGAAATATGTCATATTTTCCAGTCTTCAAGAGTACACTTCTTTCTCTGTTATGTCTAAAAATAGTCCAGTAGCTTGTAAAGATCACTTGTAACTGAAAAGAGCAATGTTTCCACAAAAAAATTCTATGGGATTATTAGATGGAAAAGGCTAAGGCATCAAGAAATCTCTACTGTTCATAGAGAAAGAAAGAGGAGATTTAGATATCAGGAACATTAACTTGCAAAACAGGATTGTCTTGACCACAGCAATAAATAATCCTTATTAAATTATCATCTGAGATAAATCATCTGTATTCTATTAAAGCATTTACACATAATGGTATAAACATTATTTTTAACTTACTTTCAAAATCTTATACCTGTGATCTAAACATCTGTGACAAGCGCTTCAATTTAAGTATTTATAACCCAGTAAAATAGAATATTACTGAAACACAACAGATGATAGCGATTTGGTTAGAGCTTAATTTATTACTTGATGTTGGCCTTTTAACATTTATAACAAACAGCCTCAGATGAAAAATACCCTGAAAGGAAAATTCAAATTTGGAAAATTTCTTCTTTTATTCTTGGCACTAACAAGAGGAATTAAGGAACAGACTAGTGGGTAATAAATTTCTTAGACAAGCACCTTCTGCTAGATTTATAATGGGCTTACATCGTATAATACTTGCCTTTATTACTAATAATGTAAATCTCATTTGCTCTGAAAAATCAGCACTAGACAAGGCATGAAATATTTTATATCAAATACAAAAAGAAAGTACATAAATCACAATCCAATATTCAATTACCCTTTCACTTCCCTCCATTAGGACTAGAAAACCTGGATCACTACAGTTATCCCTTCCACATCTCGACTTTCCCCCACTGAGGTTTCGATATATCATGGGATGGCCTAAGAAATTAAATGGGAATTTTTTGGGAGTTTTGCGGAAGCCGCAGACAACATGAAAAGGCCAACAGACGACACAGGGCCTATGACCAAAAATTTAACCCAAATTTCACAATAAGGTTCTGTAAATACTCCATAAAAGAAAAAGAAAAAATTCAGACTTCTTCTCTGATACAAAGAGAGGGCCAAAAAATTTTGTGTGGATTTTGCAGATGGCATGGAGTGCCATACTACTAACTGCCCCTACCCCCACCTCAATGTGGAAAGGATAATCGTAAATGCTTTTCAAAACAAAAACACTCTTTAGCCATACTGCAAAATGCAGTACCTATCAGTGGAAAACGTGTTGCTGCCATAGCATTATAATTAATGTTCTTTGAATAGGATGGATAAGGTTGCTCTATGAGGTGGACTGGGTGGTCTGGACTGTGACCTTTGTGACACGGTTGAAGAAACTGCAGCTAACATCTGTCCCAATACTTGCAACATCCACACTCTTAAGCATGTTCAGTTTCTCGACTCTTGTCCTCGATTCTAAGCCTCAGCTCCTCACATCTGTGCAACTTTTCTTCTATATTCATACTTTGTTGCAAGAACTTCTCCATCGTTTTGTCCAGCATCATGTTGGCATGGTGGTATTTTTTATCTTTTCCACTGAGGCAGAGGTAATATGTTGGTCTTAAAGCCTGAATCAAAAAGTAGATATGAATAAGCACACCCACGCAAAAATCAGTTTTGATCAAGCCATAAGATCATTTGACTTCAGCTCAATAGAAACTTTCATCAAAACACTTGAACAATAATTAATTATGACTTAATTGGCAAATATATAACAAGATCATGTGTTACATGTATTAACCAACGTCATGTTTTCAGATAAGGCTACAACTGCTACATGGGAGGAACTTTCTGATCTGTTAAAAAAAAAAGCCTCCTTCATCTGAGAAAAGAAAGAACTCTGCTTGCAACCACAGAGAAATGTTTTTAGCATTCTGGAGGAAAAAAAATTGTGAAAATAGTGGAGGCATAAGGACAACATTATCAAAGTAAGGTAAATGTCCAATTTGCTTTTAGTGGGAGGAGATCTGGGTCTAGTTTTTAGTGCATAGTACATAGATCATAAAAGCACTGAAAACTGAAAAAAATGTGTGAAAAACATCTCTCCTTCAGATACACTGCATTCTCACTCATCCCTGAGTAGCAGTTTGTGTTAAAAAAAAAAAAAAAGTACAATCTCTTAAGATCTTGTGCTTCATCTTGAAAATTAAACAAGACAGAAGAGTATTTTTCAGCTGATGGAATGTCAAAGGCTGTATATGGAAGTTCAGTTAAGTCAGCCAGCAAAAACTCTTGCCAATCTTGCCACTAGGTCTTAAGTCTACTTTCATAAATTAATTGGATTGTATTCAGAAGTACTTTAGTACAAGCATTAGCATTCTGAAGGAATACAGGCTTCAAGAAGAGATATCAAATATCTTATGAGGAGTATCATTATGACAATTTTAGGTTTCAGAAAAAAAAATTAAACATCACCAAATTAAAAAACAAAAGGGGATAATGAACTAGACAGTCCAAGTACCCACACTTACATTGAACTGCTTTCTAGAACTATTTATGTCAATAAATCCAAATTTTTTGAAGGTGTAACCTTTGGTAATCACTCCCTCTTCCTCCTAAGTGTGCCAAATGGCAAATTTTAAATTGCATAAATTTTCTTTTGATAATCTTTCTGACTTCTCTAGTTTGGGATAACTGGAGCACCCTGGTGGATGTGTCTCCAAACTTGGGCCAGGGAATCACTAACCTGGGCTTTTGGGCTTTAATTTTTTTAGTTTTTGCTAATGAATTTTTAAAATTTTCTCCCAGCTAACTACAAAAAATGTTTAAAGAAAACAAAATTTCAAATACACAAGAAATATATTTAAAAGTGACCACTGAAATAAGACTTATTGAGCTGTCTAGTGTTTAGATCAAGGTAAGAAAACAGCTGAATTGTCTACAACCAAACAGCTGTTCCTGGAAAAAAAAAACTTTTTTTTTTTCCCCATGAGGCAATCAGGGTTAAGTGACTTGCCCAGGGTCACACAGCTAAGTAAGTGTCAGGTGTCTGAGGCCAGAAAAAAAAAAAAGACCTTTTACAAGTCACCTAGGAAACTGAATTGCCAAAGAACCAAAAATAAAAAATTTCAAGTCATCTTGTTCACTTCATACTTAACAAGGTAATTTAAAAAAAGAATCTGACAATCCCTTTTACATTCATATCTCAGGGCAGGGCAAAGGAATATTTAAATGGGGCTTACAAACAGAGGAGCAAACATTTAAGTTTAAAGCAAAGTTATTTCTAAAAGTCAATGGGAACCCTCCCTGCTCAGAAGCAATCTAGTGGTTAATCCTATTTAGCAACAGGTAGGTGGAAGAGGGTAGTAAGAGGTGGGAGGCTCCATAGGTATCCGTTCACGGTATTCCTAGGTATCACGGTGTCCCTCAGGGTCCACTTTTCTGCTTCACCCCCAGCTAAGATATGCAGGCCCTGGGCAGAGTACTCACCACATTTGGGCAGCACCTGGACGGCTAGAAGGGAGACGCTCCACTTCGATGGGGCCCTTGGCAAAGGAAGAGCACTTGCCCACCAAGTTCTCATGGGGAGGCTCCAGCCTGCCCCTGTCCATCTTCTCTTCCATTCTCTCTAAGACTCTGTAGTCCACCACTCCTAGGCAGCTGCCTCTCACGCCTGTCGCGAAGGCTGCAGCAGGACCATCGCCTGCGCACAGGTCCTGCTCAGAACAGTCTGGGGACGTGCAGATCTTGTATGCCCGCTCTTCTGGAAGCGGTCCTTTCCCAGGTTGTACTGCCTTTGAAGCCGATCCCGCGCTGCTTCAAGGTCCAGTCGAAACCCATTTCCCCTACGCTGCAGGCCACGTCCCAGTACACGTGGCCGTTCCAAAAACTGCCAGCTAGAGCCGAATGAACGCCTCCTTCGCCCCAGATGCCCAGGAGGGCACGGGTCTCCAAGTCAGACCACAGGAATCCCCGGGTATTGGTGATCATTATCACTATGCCCTCCCCAGGACGGAGTCGGGGGGAGAGGCTGGTCGTACCCCCAACCCAGTCCTCTTCCCAGGATGTGGGGTAGATGAAGAAAGACTCAGATGTATCAGAGCAAACAAAAAGGGGGAAAAGGGGAGGACGGGAGGAAAAGGCAATCAACAAACATATCAAACCCCGAGCTGGGGAGCTGTCAGGCACTGGGAGGCAAACAGGAAATTAACAAAGGGTGAGGTTGTAAGACCCAACCAAAGGGAAGAGGATTATATCTCCCACATGTTGGGGATATAGTACATATAATTCATATATACTACTACAGTTCTGGCTGGGGAACCCTAAGAGACTGGGGGCTGGACCGACAGGCAACTCGCACCACTTTCCACTCCTCTCCTCCAACCGGTGGGGGTGGGGGGGAGAAGGGGCAGGGGAGGAGAAAGTTTAAAAAGGGCGTATTGGCCCCAGTGCTCCAGCTTCTCCATTCACAAGCAAATCTACAGTGAGAACGCAGCCAAACACAGACACCCAGACTGCAGCCACCACAGTTTTCTGCACCGTTTCTTCCTGAGGTAGCGAAAACCCGCCGTTTCCCCAGTTTAACGACTATCCAAGCCCAGCCTCCCCCGGCCGCTACCCTGCTCCGCTAGCCTCTGCGCCCCCTGCCCGGAGCAGCTTGAAGCTCGCGCGGCTATAGCTACACCATCCGCCCCGGACTGAGCGGCTTCTATCCCCAGGTCTCATCTCCTCCGCTGCCAGTTGTCCAGCTCGGCTTGGCGGTAGGAGCGCAGCAACAGCCCTGAACAGCTGTAAGAGCCCTCCATCGCCGACGGAGCAGCTGCTAACCCGCTCCGCCAGGTCCCCGCCTCCACCGCCCCTCCTCCCAGAGACGCGCACCACTGTTCCCTCTCACGGGATATCCGCTGGTAGGCAGGCTGGGTAAAGCCGATCCGGCCTCCCTTCCCCGCCCCCTGCTCGTAAACAGACACACCCCCTCCCCTTCCATTTCTCCGCCCCCAGCACCATCCGGTCCCCAAAGCTCCGTCATCTCGCCGTGCGCTCTACCTCACCGCGCACACCCCAGCGCCCACCTTTCTGCGCTCCTGCTCTCGCACAGACCCGCCCGCCTCCCTTCTGCAGAGTGGGGGAGGGGGATGGGGCGCCCCGCCTTCTAGAAGCCTCAGGAAAGAGGGGCTAGGCTGGGAATGCCCCCGCGTAGCGGGCACCCGAAGGCCACGCACTGCCCTTTACCTCTGTACCCGCCCTAGAGACTGTGCGTCCCAGCCATTTTCCCTTGCTCTTGTCTACTCATGTCTGGGAATAGAACTCAGCTAGAATCTAGGAATAAGGCTATTCCGAAGGAGGGCGAGGTTATATCACAAGTGAATGAGGCTGCTCCAGAGGGGAGCTTTCGAGCTCACTAATTCACATTCCCCATCCCCACCTCCAGAAGTCCGTTCTCCCCGACGCCACTCACCCCTCGGAATCTGCATCTGGAAGGCTCCTGCAACGCGCCTCCCCTACCCCAGCACTGCCTTTGCAGGCCCTTCTCGTCGGGCTCCGGAGCAAACGGGGCGCAGCGCAAGCTTCCTGCCCTCCACCCCACCGTCCCTGCCGGAGAGAAAAGCTCACGAGGGCTGCTGCGTGTACCTGAATCCAACGGCAGCCAGTGACGGATGAGCAGAGCCGAGAGCACGGCGGCCACGGCCGCTAGAGAGATCCCCACGGCTCTAGCCCTCGTTTCTTCCCAATTTATCATCTCCCGAAGGCAGTGAATCGGGACTGAGAACAGTGGTTTTTTTGCTTTTTTTTTTTTAAACTAAGTCTCAAATCCCCTCCCCCATCGGGGCCTGAATCTTCTCTTACCTAGTTTGCCGGCAGGGGGGTTGGGGCCAACTCGGGCTAACAAACCACAGAAGCGTTTAATCAGGATCATCGGGACGCTCTTCCGGGTTTGCCGCTGTCCTAACGCTGCCAGCGGAAGCAAAACCCGGTCTCTGGCTCTTTTCTCTGTCTCTCCCACAGAGGGAGTTCAGCCTCCAACCCACTCAGCCAATCACTGCTCCCAAACCTTCGCGATTGACATTACAGGCATAAAACCCTATCCAAGCTTTAGTCCTCTCCTAGATAGTATTTCTTGTGAAGCTCATTGCAAGCGTGAGCCAAGGCATTGTTTATTAATTATCTTTAGTGATTTTTCTTTGCTGGGTCACGGTTGCTGGCACGTTTGGTGTGGAAGGGGAGGGAGGGTGAAGAGAGTGTTGTATGGAACTTAAAAAATGAGTAGGAAGAATTAAAGCTATGCCTATACTTATACCTGTACTTGCAGAGAATTCTGTCAAGTCAGCAAGCTTTTATTAAGCACCTACTATGTGTCAGGCACTGTGATAATCACTAGGAATTCATATGCAATCAGAAAAAAAAACTGTACCTGTCATGTAAGAGCTTATTAATGAAGAAGACAACATGTAAATAAATAGGTACATAGAGATATAGAGAGTAGAAGTAAGGCAAATAACCCTGGAAAGTAGATGCTATTATGTCTCTCATTTTACAGATGAAGAAACTGAGGCAGGCAGCATTTAAGCAACTTGATATAGGTTACACAGCCAGTAAATGTCTAAGGCCAGAGTATCAGAGTTTCCTGACTCAAGACTAGTCCTCTATCTACTGGACCACCTAGCTGCCTCAATACATAAAAGAAAGCTGAAGAGGAGAAGAGGAGGAAGGAGTCCTTTCTGGGGTAAAGTAAGGAATACAACTTGGGAAGGAATGAAGACATGGCTGGCCTTGGTGTCCTCCTTAAAATGGAGGCTCTAGGAGGAAACAGCCAATCAAAGGAAGTGGCCACAAGGGCAGAGGGTACTACCAGTGTGAGAAGTCCAGAGGTACAATGAACTTCCAGGGTGGCATACATGGTAGAGAAATTCCAGAGAGTCAGGAATGCAGCCTAGAAAGGAGTCTTTTGAGTGTTTGGGGGAAGCCTGTTCTGATGCTTGAACACTTACTTCATGTCTCATCAGAGCTAACCCACAAGACAACCCACAATCTCAAGATTCTGTTGGAGAAGAGTAGGAAGTGTCCTGGTATCAAAACGGTTTTACAAAAACTCTTTGTATAATTTTTATTAGCTTGTATTTTAATTAAAATTAAGAATTTGCCACAATTTAAGAAAAAATCAAACTTACAAAGTGAACAGTAATATAATAACAAATAATCACTTCATTGAATTTCTTGTCAAAGTGCCAGAACCCTTCCCTGAAGGGAAAGGCTGGGTGCTCATAGCCTCCAGTGCCAACTGGATGACTTCCTCCATTCTCATCTGCCAGAGGGAAGGGCTGGTGGGAAATATCCAATCAGTACTGAGGGACATAAATGCCAAACCTCTCCCTCTAGTGTAGGTTCTGGGCCTTTCCTCCAGTAGCAACCTATTCCTTTCATGCCACCTATGTCTGGCCCATTAATCTTTCAACTGCAGGCTCTTCTTCTATCACCTCCCACCAGTTGGAGAGAATTCAATGCTAATTTAACATTTCTAGACTTTGATTTTAACTTTGTTTTCAATTATACTTATCCAAGTATTGTACTTTAAAGTATCCAATAATTTTGATTACTTCCTCAAATTATTCCAGATTGCCTACCATGGAAGCCTCTGGGTCCTCCACTGTGTGGATGGAGACAGTAGCTTCCTTCAACTGGCTACCCACATCTTTAAAATGGTAAGACTGAGCCAGTCACTCCTCTTTTCCATCACCATTTTTCTGCTGTCTCTTATTGGCTGCACCCAGAGGGTACAGATCCCAGTTCATCCACAGTGAAGATTCTAAGGACAAGTGAAAACTGAAAAGTTGAAAGGAAAAGGATGTTCCTTCCCCTGCCACCCTTCTTTTACCCTGTCTTAGAAACAAGCATGTGAGTGTTTCTTTTCTGTTTGTCTTCCTCAGTTTGGGGTGCCTGAGGTGATCCCCAAAGGCCCCAGTAGTAAGAGCTATGGTGACCCTTTGAGCCAACCAACCCAACATGGAGGCCCTGAGAAGTGAGGATGCTTAGGACTTGAGACAGAGGTAGGTTTTAGGTTTGGAATTGGGAGTGTGCTCCTTGGGAACCAAGCTAAACTATGAAATCTTCCCCTCCCCAAAGACTGAAATGGATCCTTCCCTGAGGGCAGAGCCAAGATGGCAGAGGGAAAGCAGTGACTTGCTTGAGCTCTCCCCCAAACCCCTCCAAATACTTATAAAAATGGCTCTAAACAAATTCTAAAGCAGCGGGACCCACAAAAAGACAGAGTGAAACAAATTTCCAGCCCAAGACAAGCTGGATGGTTGATCAGAAAGGTATATCACGCCGGGCGGGGAGAGGAGCAAGTGCAGCGTGGGTGCGCAGGCTGCAGCGAACCTGGAGCAGGCCTCAGAGGACCGAATCGCAGGCAGCTGTGGAGGCTTCTAGACTTGTCAACCCAGGAACACCAAACACAACTTAGAAGGTTGGTGGGAAAAGTCTGTGACTGGGGTGAGAGAGGAGCTAGGTCTCAGCTGCAAGTCTGGAGCTCGGCCCAGGGCCGCCGCTGTTTCCTGAGCTTCCAGCCCACAGACTGAGAGGGAATCCAGTGGCTGATCGGAGGGGGATTAAAAGGATCTCTTTGCCAGAGCTAAGGCAGGAATCTCCTGCTTTGCCTGTGCTTGGATCTGGGTCACAGTTCTGAGGGGCAGTATTGGGGTGAGGAGGAATGCTGGTGTGGTGGAGCTTGTTGTGGTGGTGGAGAGAAAACACCTCGACCCTTATCATAGCCCCTTGGAAGAACCGAAAATTTTCAGGTCCCTAGAAGTATCTTTGAAAACAGCTATACAAACCCCCGAAGCTTGGGACAGTACATTCTCCACATTGGAAGCAGACTTTTGCCTTAACAAAGAGTTTAAAACTCAAGTAATTGTCTGGGATCATGAGTAAGCAGCGCAAAAAGAGTCAGACCATATTATCTTACTTTGGTGACAAAGAAGATCAAAACATACAACCAGAAGAAGACAACAAAGCCAAAGCTCCTACATCCAAAGCCTCCAAGAAGAATATGAATCAGTCCCAGGCCTTGGAAGAGCTCAAAAGGTATTTGAAGAATCAAGTAAGAGAAGTAGAGGAAAAGCTGAGAGTGATGCAAGAAAATCATGAAAAACAAGTCAACAGCTTGCTAAAGGAGACCCAAAAAAATCCTGAAGAAAATAACACCTTAAAAAATAGCCTAACCCAAATGGCAAAAGAGGTCCAAAAAGCCAGTGAGGAGAAGAATGCCCTAAAAAGCAAAATTGAACAAATGGAAAAGGAAGTCAAAAAAATTACTGAAGAAAATACTTCCTTAAAAATTAGAATAGAGCAATTGGAAGCTAGTGACTTTATGAGAAATCAAGACACTGTAAAACAAATCCAAAAGAATGAAAAATTAGAAAACAATGTGAAATATCTCATTGGAAAAACAACTGACCTGGAAAACAGATCCAGGAGAGAGAATTTAAAAATTATTGGACTATCTGAAAGCCATGATCAAAAAAAGAACCTGGACATCATCTTTCAAGAAATTATCCAGGAAAACTGTCCTGATATTTTAGAACCAGAGGGCAAAATAGAAATTGAAAGAATCCACCGATCTTCTCCTGAAAGAGATCCCCAAAGGAAAACTCCTAGGAATATTGTAGCCAAATTCCAGAGTTCCCAGGTCAAGGAGAAAATATTACAAGCAGCCAGAAAGAAACAATTCAAGTATTGTGGAAAGACAATCAGGATAACACAAGATTTAGCTGCTTCTACATTAAGGAACTGCAGGGCATGGAATATAATATTCCGGAGGGTAAAGGAGGTAGGATTACAACCAAGAATCACCTACCCAGCAAAACTGAGTGTAATCCTGCAGGGGAAAAAATGGTCATTCAGTGAA